GTAACCTTTCCCCCCTTTCCCCCCCTACCCTAACCCTTCCCCCTTCCCCCCCCTACCCCCCCCTACCCCTACCCCCTACCCCCTACCCCCCACCCCCCCCTCCCCCTCCCCCTCCCCCTCCCTCCCCTCCCCCCCCCCCCCACACACACAGGATGGATCGAATCCGTCAAGGTCAACAAGCCGGCCATCATCCGCCGGGCGCAGAGCCATGTCAAGCGGCGGTCTATCAAGAAGAAGGCCCAGCTGGCCTGGCTGCTCCGCGCGGTGGCCTGCACCGACATCACCACTCTGGCCGGTGACGACACCGACGAGAACGTCCGCCGTCTGTGCGCAAAGGCAAAGTCGCCCATCCGCCCTGACCTGCTCGCTGCCATCGGCATGGAGGGTCTGACCTGTGGTGCGGTGTGCGTGTACCCCTCGCGCGTGCCTGCCGCCGCCGCCGCCCTCGAGGGCACCGGCGTCGAGCTGGCGGCCGTGGCCACTGGCTTCCCCTGCGGCCAGACGCCCATGCACACCAATGTGCAGGAGATCGAGTACGCCGTGGCGTGCGGCGCGACCGAGATCGACATTGTCGTGGCTCGTGAGCTCATCATTGCCGGTGAGTGGGCCGCCCTCTACGACCAGCTTGTCGAGTACAAGAAGGCCTGCGGCTCGGCCCACATGAAGTCGATCCTGGCCATCGGTCAGCTCCCCGACTACCGCATGGTCTACAAGGCCTCGCTCATCGCCATGATGGCCGGATCTGACATGATCAAGACCTCCACCGGTACCGAGTCAATCAACGCCTCGCTCGAGGTCTCGCTCGTTATGGTCCGCGCCATCCGCGACTACTACGAGCAGACCGGCTACATGGTCGGCTTCAAGCCTGCCGGCGGCATCCGCTCCGCCAAGACTGCTCTCGGCTACCTCTCGCTTATGTACGAAGAGCTCGGCCACCGCTGGACCAAGCCTGACCTCTTCCGCATCGGCGCCTCCTCGCTCATCATCGACGTCGAGCGCCAGATTGAGCACGGCCTCACCGGTGCCTACGCCGCCAAGCACTACATGCCCATGTCGTAGAGCCTGCTGCTCTCCACCGCTCCACTCGTCGCACTGTCCTCGCCTTCCCTTAAACTCTTTGTTTACGTCGAGCTCTCGCCTCTGCCTCTGCCTCTCCCTCGGCCGCCACTTCCGCGTCCGCGTCCTCGCCCGCGCAGACTCCACCGGCGTGTCGCGTCGCGTGCCCCATCTGGCTTGGCTAGAGGCGCGGGTTTGGCCAGCGGCTTGGGTTTGACCAGCGGTTTGGGCTTGGGAAGCGGCTTGCGCGGCATCGTCTTGGGCTTGGGCTTTTCCATCGAGGTCGGGGCAGGGGTCGGGGCCGGGGCCGGGGCCGGAGCCGTAGTCGTGGCTGAAGACGATGTCGATGCGCCCGGCTCAGCTGCTTGACCTTGTGCCTTGACAAGCGGCTTGGACTTGGGCAGCGGCTTGGGCAGCGGCTTGGGCAGCGGCTTGCGCCGGACCGGTGCCACCGCCGGTTCCGCCGACTGCGCCGACGGCTGCGCCGACGGCTGCGCCGCCGATGGCTGTGCCGTCGCCACCGTCGCCGACGGCTGCGCCGGCACCACTGCCGGTGGCCGTGTCGGCGGCTGCGCAACCTCCTCTTCCGCTGACGGGCCCACATCTCCCGTCAATCCAGCCCGCCCTCCCAGCACGACCCGGTCCACAAACTCTCCCCATTCCATCCCGACCAGTGCCTTGAGCCCGTCGGCGATCGTGAGCCGCTCGCCGAACCCTCCGCCGGCTGCTGTCCGCACCACAAAGTGCCCGAGCTCGTTGACGACCCAAATCGAGCCCTCGGACCCTCCGGTACCTTCGTCATCCCACACGCACTCGGGCTCGCGCTGCGACGCCACAGTCATGACCCGCGGGACTGTGCGGAGCGCCTCCACCGGCGGCGGCTGCGGGCTAGTCGTCGCCACCATCCCGAGCACCGCGTAGTGCTCTGGGTCGCGAGCCTCGCCGCGCCACACGTAAAGGTGCTCGTCGCCCACACGCTGCCGCCACACCTCGCGGAACCGCACCACAGGCGGGAAGAGGAGCGCCACAACAGCTTTGAGCGTCTTGGAGCCAGAGACCAGGGACGCCTTGACGTCCTTGACGAGCAGCCCGCCGCGCACCCCAAGTGCATCCTTCTTCGATGGCGCCCCAAAGTTGAGCGAGACGTGGTGCCCGAGCGGGATCCGCGCACTCCGCCCGGACACCGCCATGTCGTCGTCGCCACGCCAGATCGAGACCAGCCGCCGTGCTCCGGTCCCCTTAGAGAGCCAAACTTGCCGGAAGCTGCTCACGCTTCGTGCGCTCACCCGGACATCATCGAACGCCGCACGCGGCACGAGGTCAGCCTCCAGCGCCTCGTCAGCCCCGTCGCCAAACCCAAGGTCCACAGGCTCAATCCGCGTTGCAAGCAGCTCGTCAAGCGTAAACGCGTTCGCCCACGCCGGACCGTCCTTTGCCGCAAACGTCTCCACAAACTCGGCAAAAGAGACCACGCCCGTCCCCTCCAAGTCCATTGTCGTCATCAGCGCACTCAGCTGGCTCATGTCGAGCTCAACGCCGAGCCACACCAGCCCGCCCACAAGCTCGGCCTTGGTCAGCACAGAGTCGCCGTCCTGGTCAAAGACCCGAAACGCGTCAGAGACAAGGAGCCCGCGCGCACGCAGCGCACGCCGCACCGCAGACACACACGCACGGTGCACAAGAATGCGATACGCGTCGCGGAGGAAAAAGTACCGTCCCAGCGGCGTCGCCTCGCACGAGCCCTGCGCCCGTCGCTTGCACGATCGCACGCCCGTAAAGTACTCGCGCCGCAGCGACACAGCATTGTCCGCTGTCATCCGCAGCAGCATCAGCAGCTCGCGCTCCGAAAACTCCACCTGCGCGTCGAAGAGTTTGAGACACGCACGCGCAAGCTCAACCTGCTGCGACGCAACACCCTCTCCGCCACCGCCCACCACGAACCCATGCGACGCGTCGAGCACGTGCCGCCCCACATGGAGCCGCACCCCGATCCGCGAGCCAGCCACAAGCGGCGAGCCGCGCCGCAGGTGTAGCAGCCCGCGCACAGACTCGGCCTCCGCCAGCGAGAGCACAACAAAGTACCGGCCACTTTCCACCCTGTAGAACGCGTGCTTGGTCATCGCCCGCTCCACCGCAGCCGCAGACACTCCGCCGAGCGCGCTCCGCATCACATCCAGCACCCCGACCTCGTCGACCTCGCACAACTCAGCAGGCGCGAGATCCACGTCGTTGGCGCGCAGAAAGTCTGCCAGCCCGTCGTCGAGCCCGCTGCTCGCAAACTCGCCGGCCTCACCCCAGAACAGCTGCAACGCAGACGCGAGATCTCCCAACTGCTCCTCGCTTAGCGCCACCGACCGCCCGCCGCCCGCATGCACCGCCGCCAGATCCGGCACCCATTCCATGACCACAATCACGTTCTTCACACGCCGGTACGACTTGAGCAGCGACCACTGCGGCCGGTACCAGTTGTTCGAGACCCACAGGTCGCGCGGCCAGGCAAACGCCGGCAGCTTGCCGTCCGGCGTCTTGATCGAAAACTCACTCGCGTGGTACGCAAACTTGGCCCGGCTCGGATCCTCGGCCAGCTTGCCCACCGGCCACGCCCGCACGCTCTCGTCCTGCCGCGAGTACTCGCGCTTGGCGGGCGCCATCGCAACAGCAATAGCCTCTTGCTCGATCTCCATCTCCTGCTCTTGCTCTTGCTCCTGCTCTTGCTCCTGCTCTTGCTCCTGCTGCTGCACCATTTCGCCGCCAAAGCCGGCATCCATCTCGGCAGCCTCGACGTCGGCTGGTGCCTTGGCGCTACTCGCGCCCACAGACATTTCGTCCAGAATTTGCTGAGCAAGTCCCAGATCTTCCGGCCACTGCCCCAGAAACGCCGCGTGCTCTTCGAGTGCCTGCGCCGCCTTATCGCTTGGCCCAGACCCACTCGTCGAGCCCACAGCCTCGGATGCCGCCTCGGGCGCCACCAGTATGTTCGACACTCCAAAGTCGACCCGCTCGCGGAAAACGTTGACGCACCGCCGCAGTGCCTCGTACGCGACTGTCCCTGCAGGCGCCGCCTCCCGCGCCATCCCCACAAGCTCGCGGTACGCTCGCTTCCGCCACACATTGGCCACGTTCTGCTCGCGAAGCAGCGCATACTGCAGCTTCTCTGTCACCATCGAGTTGACAGAGAGCCATCCGGCCACCGCAGCCAGCGCTTCGCGCTTTTCGAGCTCTCCAAGCGGCTTGGCGCTCAGCCGCGGTACACGCTCCGCCGCGCTCAGCTCCTCTCGAACAAGCTCGGCTACCTCGGGAATGACATACAGCACCAGCGTCTGCCCGGCCCCGATCCCGCGCATCCGGAACGCGCCCTGCGCATAGTCGCGGAACGTCATGTCCTTGCCCAGCGTCAGCACTGCTCGCCCTGTGTACGCCTGCTTGATGTCCATGCCCGTCGTGTGGACCTGGTCGTAGAACGAGAACCGCGCCTCTTTGGGCAGTCCGCACTGTTCCAGTCGCATCACCTTGCCCGAGCCCCGCATCACAATCATCTTACGATCAAGCTCGTCGAGGAAGACCACGCCGCGGAACTTGGCTGCCAGTCCGGCCGCAAGCAGCGCTCGCGCAACCTCCTCGTTCGTTAGCCCTGTGATCAAGGCGCCAGTGTCAATGAGTGCACATGCCGGCGGCTCACTCTGCGCTACAGCACGGAGGATCGAGCTCGCACACCACCCGTTGTCAAGCATCTCCACGCTCACCACGCTCGGCTCCGTCAGCACCGCAAGCATCTTGCCGTCGTCGCCCTCCTGGTAGCGGCACCGCCCAAACTCGCGCGGTAGCAGGTCCGACGGCGTGCCCGAAAACCCGAGTCGTGTCGCAAATAGCAGCGAGCCACCAAGCTCCTGCCCAGACGCCGTCAGTTTGAGCGGCTGGAACTCCATCGTCTTGGGGAACACATACTGCGAGAGGTACCAGTACGCCGCATGCGGCGACTTGCCCAACACGTCATAGAGCACTTCCAACTGCTCTTCATCGCTCGGGTCCACAAGCGCCAGCGGCCAAAGATCCTGCCACTCCTCCACAACATCTTCGCCGTTCGCTCCGAGGCGTGCTCGCTCGGCTTCGACATCCGCCCGCCGATGGAGCCCGCGAATCGAGCCGCCGCGCGCAAGCACCCACGACGCGTACAGCGTCCGCGCCTGCGACCGCGTAAACACCGCGCCCGCATCCGCGTCCGGCAGTCGGCCCTTTAGCCCGAGCATGACCCGCGCAAAGTCGCTCGCCCGCAGGCCCTCGTGCCGGTACGCCAGAATCGAGAGCCCAATGACCACGTCCGGGTGCGAAAACTCCGACGCCTCCGACGGAACGTCTTTCCCACAAACGGCACTGCAAGCAGCGCACGCGACCGTGGCATGTGCGGGAACCGCTCCATCGCCCGCGCAAGGTCGTTCGCAGAGAGTAGGCCGTACTTGACCCGGTTGATCTTGCGAAGGACAAACGGCAGGAGTGAGACAAGCCACGTGTGGGTCAGGTTCAGCATCCGCACCTGGTTGTCCGACAGCTGCGCCTCCACCGCCCGCCCTTGGCTCGCCCCTAGCGACGCCGGTCCTTCCACAAGGTACTGCTCCAGCACACGCGTCCCGATGACATGCACCTGCTTGTCCGCCAGCCACACCATCGCCCACCGCGCAAACAGCGGCAGCAGCCGTGCCGCATACCACTTGGGATCAAGCAGGACAAGGTGCGGCACAAGTTGCAGCGCCTTGGCCTCGTGTCCGGCCGCAAACGCAGCACGCAAGTCATCGAGCACCGTCACCGCAATCGACGACTCGTCCACCCGAGTCACCATGCCCTCGTGCGTCTTGTAGAACAGCGCGTCAAGGAGGTGCATCGGAATCGCCCACCGGTACCCATCATCCGTAAAGTCGAGCGGCTCCTTGACGCCCATCGGCCAATTGAGCTCGGACCGGAGCGGGTGCAGGAGGAGGTCGACTTCATCGAGGAGCAGCACGCCCTGGTGTAGCAGCGCAAGCACCTTGGTGCACACGTGTGCCTGCTCCCACAGCTGTGCCACAGCTGCAGCGTGCACCGACTCGATCCGCCCACGTGCAAGCCGCGCCTTCAGCCGTGCGTACATGTTCCGCTTCACCGCAGAGTCCTCCACCTTGCCACTCTCCAGCGCCTCGAGCTCGTGCATCAGCTCCACATACTTGATCGCAAACGACTTGATCGCCGTCGGCGTCGCAATCACCACGGCCCGCGAGTACTTGGCCTGGACAAGCTTGTCGTACAGCGCAAGTTCCACCCGCGAACCGCGGTCGTACGTAAAGGTGTATACAGGCTTGAGAATGAGCTGCGAGAACCGCTCCCGCATCACAGACCGCGAAAACTCCAGCAGCGCCCCAGGCACAACCTGCGTCACAAGCTGCTGCCCGTCAGCAAGGAGCAGCGAGAGCAGCGGCGCCACAACCGTCGTCTTGCCTGCACCCATGATCATTTGATGGCAGAGCGACGAATCGGATGCCACCGCACCCATAAACCGCGAGACAAGCTCGACTTGCGCCTTGCGGAGGAGAATGCCGGCCGAAAACTCAAAGACAAGGAACCGCGGATCGTACACAAGTCTCCAGCTCTGGCTGTCCTCGCGCACGTAGTGCCGCTCCGCAGCAAGCACAGATGCCAGCCCGCGCGCCTTGAGCACCAGCTCAACCTCCTCACTCTTCCCGGATTCGACAGTCGCAATGAGGTCGCCCGTCATCGACAGCGCTCGCGCAGCCTGCCCCACCCGGTTGACAATGAGGAGGACCGCGACTGTGAGCGACTCAATCGCCGCCCGCGACTCCTCGTCCACAAACGGATTAAAGTCCTCTAGGTTGTCCATGCCACGCGGCGAGAGGAGCCATCCAACAAGTAGCTCGAACCAGACCTTGAGCCCCTGCCCGGCGTCCTGCAGCAGCTCAAACGCAAGCTCCTGCCGCGACGTCACCGACGCCACCTCATTGGCAGCAGCCACCACGCGCTTGATCGCCGCCTCGGCGGCCGCAATGTCGGCGTCGTGGAGCGCGAGCAACTTGGCCTGCAATGCCCGGAGCTCCAAACATGCCGCCCGAGCGGCGTCGGCAGACCCACTTGCCACCGCCTTGGCCGCAGACGGCAGCAGCGCGTTCAGCTCGTGGATCTCGGCGTTGTTTTGCGCTTGCGCGTAGTACGCTGCGTCATCATTCAGCCGATCCAAAATCGCGCTGGCAATCGGGGAAACCGCCGCTGGATGTGAGCTGACGTCAAACGGCACCTTGCCAGCAATCGGCGCACTCACAGCTGGCACAGCCCGGACCAGACTCTCGAGCCCCAGCACGCTTAGCGGCGCAGAGGCAAACGCCTTGAGCCCGGCCTTGTCCAGCCCGACGTCTGTGTACGGCGACGCCAGCAGCTCGCGTTCGCCACACGATGTGTCGGTCGTCCGCGGCGCAGCCGCAGAGAGCTTGCGCAAGTCGGCAGGCGTCAGCGTCGCAAAGTGAATGATCATCGGCGGCGAGTACGACGCCGTCAGTGCCGGCGCCCGCATCCACACCGCTGTTCCGGCCTCAAACAGTGCCACCATATCCTTCGACACCGTCTCCACAAGCGTGAGACCTGCCGCGCCGCGCTTGAACAGCTTGCGCTTCTTCGAGTTGACCACGTCGAGGTACTTTGGTACCCGAGAGTTTGCAATCTCGGGGTTCACTACCAGCACTCGCAAGATTGACATGAACCGCGAGGCCGAAAACAGGTCGTCGCGTGGGAGACACCGGACAAGCAGCTCGCCCAGCACGTGGCACGAGTCGAGCGGATCGATCCGGATCGGAAGTGCGCCGGTGAGCAGCTCGTACAGGAACAGGAAGCCGAGCTTCGACGAAAGACGCAGCAGGCCTTCCTCCAGCACCACATTGAGGAACTCGAGCGCGTACACACCGTGCACCTCGCCCGGGCGCGTGTAGTTGACCAGTGCGCGGTTCGAGAGATTGAGCTTGGAGCTCGGCTCGAGCACGCTCGTGTCCATATGTGTGTCAAACGGCACCGTCTCTGGCATCGCAGGATACTTGACCGCAATCATCTGCCGCGGCGTCTCCGCGGGCTGGAGAACCGAGAGCACAAACGCCTTCCGGTTGGCAAGCAACACGTCGACAGCCTCGCGTTCGGCCACAGTCATGCGCGCAAGCACCCGAGCGTCGCGCCGGGCCGCGAGGAACGCCTCATCCAGGCCGTGCTCTTCCAGCAGTTCGCGGAGCGCGTCGGCATCTTCTTCCTCCTCCTCACCGCCACTCCCGCCACCACCACTGCCCCGGCCCTGCAGTGCCTCCAGCAGCGAGTCAAAGTCATCTGCGAAATCGCCCGCCACCTCGTCCGCCATCCGCATCTGCTCCTCGGCGTGCTCGATGAGAAGCAACTCTTCCTCGAGCGTCAGCCGCGCCGACGCCGAGACAAGGCCTTGGTTCGCCACGTAGGCCACAAGCTCCGACACCACGCCCCATGGCGCGGCCATGTCTTTGTGCGATGCCCGCGTCACCATGTGGATCTTCAGCCGCGCAGCATGGGCGTCGGGGTGGCAGTCGGCCTTGCACAGTCGCAGCAGCTCGAAAATCGCCGCCTCCTCCTCGCTTAGCGGCGTGTCCGTCACGCATACGCCGGCCATTCGCACCACGGCTCCGTACTGCCGCGACAAGAACCGTAGGACAAGAAGGTAGAGCGACGACGCAAATGTCGGTGGAATGAGGTACGTTCGCGATGCGTGCACCCCGTACACGTAGTGCCGCGTCTCCACCGCGCTCGAGAGCCACCCTTCCGACTTGATTACCTTGACCATACCCGGGAACAGCGTCGTTGTCCCAACCGCCCCGTCGACTTCACCATCGTCGTCGCCGTCGTCCTCACCGTCAGCCTCTTCGCCGCGCCGCATCGGACGCGCCAGTGGCACCAAAATCGACAGATCTTCGTTGGTGTTCTGCAGGAGGACCGCATGCGAGAGCCCGCACACAAGCTCGGCAAGTTGTGGCGTCCGCACGTTCGACACATACAGCCCGGCGTGCTCGTTGCAAAACAGGACCCGCTCGCCGTTTGCCACACCAGCGCGGAAGCTCAGCCCTAGCCGGGGAAGCTCAACGTGGTCGATAGAAAGGCCCTCACTCGACCGCGACCACGCCAGGACGTGCGAAAACGACTCCATCCGCACCAGCAGTTTGGCCAGCGCTGCATTGGGCGACGACTTGGGCGTCCGTAGCAAGTTGACGAGTGTCTCGGGCGTTGCCGAAAAGTCCGGCACGCTTCCGTTGACCACAACGCCGTCTTCACCGGCATCTTCGCCGCTCTGCGGCGCCGCCACCATAGGGAAGCGCTGGACGAGCGCAGACGCCACGTTGAAGCACGACGGCCCGGTGTCGAGTCGGGCACCCTTGTCATGCCGGATAGTGACGCAGATGACGTAGTTGGCTGCTGCCGCCGCTCCTGGTGCCGGTCCATCGTCGCCGTCGCCGCTGTCTTCGATTTGCGACGTGTAGTGCGAGGAGAAGAACTGCGAGGCGACCCGCGTCTTGCGCGGCGGCTTGGGGTAGCCGATCAGTGACTCGTCTTCGTTCTGCCAGTAAAGGTAGTGGTCGAGCAGCGCTTCCGGCAGCAAGCCCTTGAGAAGGCGACTGGGCACGAAAGTCTGCGTCCCGACCCGTGCATCGAGCGCCCGGGTCACCACCACCGACGCCCGCGGAGTAACCGGCTTGAGTGCGTCACCACCAGACGGCGGCAGCGTTCCCAGGCAGAGATCAGGCGACGAGCTCCACACCAGCGTCCGGTAGTACCGCCGGCCATACTCGACCACATCGTACACATGCACCACACTCGGGTACTTGTACACCACAACTTCCTTGAGCGTAGGCGGCGTGTAGTCTGGATCTGCAAACGGACTTGACCCGTCATCGTCATCGTCTGAGCCAAAGGCAATGTCTGACGAGCCCGAGCCCGAGCCCGAGCCTTCCCGAGTGTCGGTCATGGAGACCTCGTCAGTCTCGATCATCTCCCAGTCGTCGTCTCCATCGGCCTCGGCCTTGCCCTTACCCTTGCTCTTGCTCTTGCCGCCATCAGCTGCATCGTCGTTGTCGTCGTCGTCGTCGTCATCATCCGAAATCGCAGCCCGCCGCACTGTCGACAGCGTCACCGACGACTCGTCGTCGTCCTTGGCGTCGGCCTTGGCGCGGGAACGGGCGACCTTCCGTCGGCGCTTCTCCTTCTTCTTCTCTGCCTTGCGGCGAGTCTTCTCGCGCTTGGCAAATGCCTTGCGACGGGCCTTGAGCGCCTTGCGCTCGGCTGGCGTCATCAGCGCCTCGTCCTTGTGGCGCGGGACGTAGAGTGTAAACAGAACAGCGACGCCGTCGGCGAGTGCGACGCCTGAAAAGTTAAGGCTTCGCGCAACCTCACCAAAGACCTCAAAGCGGACAGGCTCAAAGATGTCGGCAACCCAGGCGAGGGCACCAGAGGTGCGGCGGCCGGCGTACGACTCGCAAGCAGCCGACGGAACAGCCATCGGCCGCGGGTCGCGCCGCCACACAAACACATCGTGTCGCTTGCCGACCAGCCGCAGCCAGTTGCGCTGACTGGTCCGCTCAACCTCGACCGATTGCATCCGATGCTCTCCGACCGCCTTGGCACCAAACACAGCCTCGATTTCGGCGCTGGCGCCGACGTCGTCAGGCAGCAACAGCATTTGCTGCTTCTTGAGGGTAAACTCGCCGAGCTGGACGTTGATCTCGGTAACCACCTCCTTGGTCGTGATCCGCCGCAGCCACTCGACGTAGCTCTCGGCAAATGGTGCCCGCAGCGGGTCGGATGCTGGCTCGGCAACTAGTGGCGCTGCAGAGTTGAGCGCGAGCTCTGAGACCTCGGTGTCGGGCACAAATCGCCCGTAGCACCCTGTCCGTGTCAGTGATGACCACGACCGCAGCGAGAGATTGGCCTCGACCATCTGCTTCTCCATCTCCAACAGCGAGCCCTTGAAGGTCATAACCCGGATGATGGTCTCCATGACCAGGTTGGCGGCGGCGCCGGCACCACTCAGCCACGCCACCACCTTGTTGCGATGCTTCTGGAAAAGGTCAAACATCTCCATCTGCGTGATCTGCAGCTCGCGGTTGAGAAACGCTTCTTTGTCGCGAAGTCCGGCGTTGCGCTTGTTCCGCTTGCTCCGCTTGACCCGCACCTTTTTCTTTCCAGACTTGCCCGTCTTGCCCGCCTTGTCGCTCTTGGCTCCACCCGAGCTGCTGCCACTGCTCGATGACTTGGCGTCGAGCGTCCAGCGGTAGTTGGCGTTAAGAAAGATCTGCGCCGAGAGGAGGGTGACGACAGCGGTGGCTCCGAGCTCCTCGCTCCGCACGTTCTTGAAGATGTACGCCAGGTGGGCGTGGATGACCGCTGCCACCGCGACCCGCTGATCCTTGACCAGGGCGCGGACCCGCCACTCCTCGAGCACCTTGAACAGCTCGCCGCGTGTCTTGCTCCGCACCTCCTCGAGCACACGGGTGTAGCTTGCCAGCGACGTGCCGGCATCGAGGCTGAGGCCACGAACATGGGCCTGGGTCGCGGTTGCGGCCTCTGGCGCAACAGTGTTGGCGTCGAGGACAAACAGAACGTACTCCTCGATGCGCACAACAAGGCGAGTGATGTAGAGGATGACCAGCGCATGCTTGGAGTCATAGCGCCCTGTGTTGAGCTCCAGCGCGAGCTCGACAAGCCGCAAAACAGCGGGAAAGAGGATGTGCGGTGCGCAGACAAGCTCATTGAAAAGGAGACCGACTGGCGTCCGGAGATGGTCGCGTGTCGGCGGCGGGATGACAGTAGGGGCCGTCCGGGGCATGATTGCCGACTCAAAGGTGCCCGGCTCAAAGCAAGCCGCGTCAAGAACGTCCTGTAGCTCGGGCGCAGCGAGGGCCTGGATGCGAGTCTCGTCCGCAAAGAACGCAAGCAGTAGCGGAATCCGCATGTACGGTGCCGTCAGGTACTGCAGGAGCAGCTCGGACTCGTGCAGCGAGAGTCGAAGCCCAAACGTAGGCGGCTTCTTGAGATGCAGCACGTCGTCCTCGGTCTTGATCTTGCGGGCCAGCGACGACGAGTCCTCGAGCTGAGCGAGGACCGAGGGGTTGCCGGCTGATGGCGGCGCCCGCGGGACGAGGCCCGCAGCCACCCGTAGCTTGGATCCGACTGACGACGGCATCCACGATGAGATCTTCGAGAGTGCCCTGGCCTTGACGGTCGACGCGGCTACAGCCTCGGCATGTGGCTCGAGAACGCGCCGGAAGCCATTGACTTTGAGGTAGCCGTCGGCTTCGTGGTACGACCAGGTGAGCGTGGCGTCAAAGATGTCCCATGCTCGGACCTTGGGCAGCGCGCTCGACGACGGCACCATAAGCAGCTTGAAGAGGAAGACGATGTCCCTCAGCGCACCAAGCTCCGGATAGTGCACGAGGAGCTCGGGCGCTTGGCCGGTGAGGTAGTGCGGCGCGAGCTCGCGGGCGTATCCCATGTGGACTGCAATCTGGTCGATGAGGGCGGCTTCGCCGGCGCCAAACGCGTTCGAGGCGTTAAAGGCAAAGACCTCATGGCCGGGTGCGAGAAAATTCTCCCATGCCGTAAAGTAGTCGAGGACAGCGGTCCGCGTGGCTGCTGCTACCGGGTTGACAAACAGCATAGACTCGGACTCAATGCCAAAGTGGCCAATGGTGAAACCGTACGGGGTGATCGGGCCGGGCGCCGACCCCGAGTAGTGTGCGGCGAGCTGCGATGGTGCGTCCCAAGCCGTCCGCCGCATGACCGCGTCGGCGATGGCGGCCATGGCGCCGAGTGTCAAGATGCGCGTGGCGTCAAACGAGGCCGTGGCCCGCAGCGAGAGCGCAGCGACCGAAAAGTGCGATGCGAGGAGCGAGACAAGCTCAAGGAGCTCGTTCTGGGTCTCGCGCCGGATAGGAAGGACTCGCCAGAAGCAAGTTGATGGCGGCGGGGCAAGGCTGGCATCGGCCTTGACCTGCACCAGCCACGCGAGGTCGGCCTCGGTCGGCGGGACCGGGACCGGGAGGACGGTGGTGAAGAGCCATGAGACAAGCGCGGCTCGCAGCGCATACGAGTTGGGCACCACGCTCGCCTGATTAGCGAGGAGCGCACAGACGTCGACTGCGGCGCGCATGGCCACAGCAGCCTCATGCATGTCGCCAACAGCGTCGGGGACCGACGTAAGTTCGACCGGGCGGATGATAGGCGGCTCGCGGGGGTGGCCGGCGAGACTTGACGTGTCAAACTGACGCATGAAGCGACCAAAGAGCGAGAAGCTATTGACAAGCGCGGGCGAGTCGATCGAGACCAGGGGGATGTTGTTCTGCGGCGCGGCATGCGCCGCAGCGTCGAGAAGCATCGAGACGATCTTCTGGACGCCGCGCAGCTGGGCGGCGGTGAGGGTAGTGGCAACCGGGGTGGCCGGCGCAGCTGCCGCCGCTCCCAGGCTCTGATCCGCGGCGGCACCGACCCGAATGGTGCCCTGGGCCTTGGACTTTTTGCCAAACTCCATGGTCTCGGCTTGGGTGAGGAGACCGGCGCCGCGGGCGAGCTGCTCGCCGATGATGGAGAGCATGACCGACTCGGACGAGTTGAGCACCAGCGCGTCAGCAGCAGCGAGCGACTGGGCCATGTGAGTCCCGAGAACATACCGGAGGAGAACGTCGGTGTACGAGGCAAACGGTGGCGAGTGGGTCATCAACAGCAGGGCCTGGCGCATGGCCACCCACACCAGGTGGGCGCCAAACGGGTCGGTGCCGCGCGGCAGCGCCCGCCACTCGGCCGTCTCGGCCGTCACGTTGGCCATTAGCGGCCGCTCGTTGAGGAACGGCAGGAGAGCCTCGTACAGCTGCGCCGGACTGTGGCTGTCAGCCGGCTGGAGCAAGCCGCGGAGGGCGAGGAACCAGAACGCCGCATCCTCCACCTTGCGCGCCGGCACGTCGTCGAGGGTGAACGCGACCGAGTACGCAAGCTCGGCGGTCGGGTTCCGCGCCGTCACTGGGTGGTACTCGAGGCCAGCGCCGACGTTGCACACCGAGAACTTGTACGTCTCGCGCGAGACCTTGAAGACCACAAAGAGCAGGTACGAGCCAGCGCCGCTCGACAGGCGCCAGCCTGATGGCACAAACACAAGATCGTTGGCTGCCATTGACCGCAGTCGCGACGTGAGGCTTGCCAGCAGGCTTGCCACCCTCGGCTCGGGTACATACGGCCACGCCGCCGCGGCTGCTTTGGCCGCCGCCTTTTTGCTTGCGACCGGTGGCGCCGGGAAGGTTAGCTTGAGCGGAAGCTTGGCCAGAGGCACCGGCCGGGCCGGTGCCACTGTATCGATGGCGGCGGCAACCTCGGTGGCAAAGCCGATGCCGGCCGCCATGCCGTCGACGACGGGTTGGCATGCTGCCGCATGCTCGGGCCAGGCCTGCGCCAGCGCCGCAAGCGATGCGCGAAACAGCTCCATTGTGGCAATGAGCGGGTGAAGATGACGCTTGCGCTCGCCGCGCGGCGCGTCCGAGGCAATGAACGGATCGGCGAAGAGGTCGACGACCGCAGGATGCCGCCAGAGCCGATCCAGGTGCGGAAGCGGAGCCGACCCGCCGCCGCTCTCGGCACCGCCTGCAGCATCCAAAGCGAACCGCGGGATGTCGCGCATGCCTCCGCGGCCCGACGACGAGCCAGATCGTGTCCGAGTCTTGGCCGGGCCGAGAGTCTTGCGCTTGATAGCCCGAACCGGCGCTGGCGCCGGCGCCGGCGCCGGTCCAGCAGCAGCAGCGGCTGGCAGCGCCCGCTTGAGCTCTGGAAGCGGCCGCGATGACGTCCGAGTTGACTTGCGACGCCCACGCGTGGGCAGCGGTCGCGGGGGGCGGCCGGCGGGCGGCGGCGCTTTGGCCTTGGCCTTGGCCGGACCGGGGGTTGAGGATGGTGTAGAGCTTGACGCAGGCGCGCTGGCCGAGCTGTCTACGCCATGGCTTGCGACCGAGATTGGCTCATGCGGTGACGACGAGGAGACGTCGGTCGAGTCCGAGTCTGATCCAAATGGGTTGTGGGACATACGGGTGACCACACGAGCGGTGAGAACCAGTTGGTAGTCCTGGTGGTAGTCCTGCCTTCAAGGTACCGCACCCAAGGTAGGTGTGTGGGCACTAGAGTGACTGTGAGTGCGTGTGCTGTAAGAGGGGAAGACACACGGGGAGGAAAGACAGGGCAAGAGTTTTCTGGTCTGCTCTCAGCCAGCGTGGCGTGTATGTGGCTGTGTGTGTGGTGTGCGTGTGTTTAGTATGCTGTGCTGAAGTTGAGCCAGTCGGTGGTGGTGTCGGCATGTGCGACCAGACAAAGCGAATGGCCACATCTCTCTGGTCTTTTTTGCTGGCTTTTGGGGGCTGTTGGCTGACATGTCGTCTTTGCCCACACGGGACGCCTCCAAGCGACTGCTGCACTCGCTCTATCTCAACGTGGCAGAGGTACGTTAGCTTGGAGATGGGAAAGCCAGCTGAGTTTGTGGTGGTAGGCAGGCTATATGGATGTACCGGAATCAGGGGTGATGCCGGTGTGTGTGTGTGTGGGAGGGGGGGGGGGGCACCCGCCTGGCGGCTTTGTTCTGGCGAAGCAAAGCCGGACGCGCCTTTTGCTGGCTCGATGCCTGCACTCGCCGGCAAACCCCTTCCATTTCTGCTGGGACTCACGCTTGGCGCATGGTGGGATGGTGCAGGCCAAGAATCTACCAGCTATGGACTTTGGTGGTACGTCTGACCCGTACTGCGTGGTGTCAGGCTTTGGCACCGGGGAGATTGTGCGGACGCCGACGATCTACAAGGAGCTGAACCCGTTCTGGGGCTCCGAGTGGTCGTTTGATGTGGCGACGTTTGCGCAAAAGCTGCAAGTCATCGTGTTTGATGAGAACAAGAAGAAGGACGCTCCGATCGGCAAGGTTGTGGTGGCCTTTGAGGCGCTGCGCAACGGCGAGCTCCGCGAGCAGTGGTATCCACTGATGCCTGTCTCGACCAAGGACATGGACTTTGTGTCGGGCGTGGTCGAGCTTGAACTGCTCAAGACGCACTCGACGCTGTCTGTGAAGCTTGTGCGTGCGCGCGGGCTGGCGTCCAAGGACTCGAACGGGCTTTCGGACCCGTACGTCAAGATCCTCTTTGCCGATGCCGAGTACAAGACCGAGACCAAGTTCAAGACGCTCGATCCCGAGTTCCACGACACCTTCCAGTTTGGGCTCCCGTCGCCGGCGTTCTACTCCAAGACACTCATTCTCACCTTTTGGGACTACGACAAGCTCTCTTCGGACGACTTTATGGGCTCGATCGAGATCAATCTGGAAGACCTCGAGTTCTCGCGGCCGCTCACCCACTGGTTTGACCTCTCGCCGATCAACCACGCGGCGCAAAAGAAGAAGGGCGGCGGCAGTAGCAGCGGGAGCGGCGCGCACAAGGACCTTGGCTCTGTCCGGCTCAAGCTCAAGTACACGACCGAAGTCATTCTCGATCCCGTGCGGTACGACTCGCTGTTCAACTTTCTGGACCAGCCAGGCCTTCCGGACATTCAGGCGATTGGCAAGGTGACGCGCGAGCGCGAGCCGCTGGCCAAGGCGCTGGTGGCGGCATTTGCCGGGATGGGCAAGGCCATCTGGATGCTCCGCGAGCTGAACGCGGCCGAGATTGCAGCAACCGAGACGTCAAACATCATTTTCCGCGGCAACTCGCTGGCGTCCAAGACCAACGACATGTACCTGCAGCTGCTTGGCGGCGAGTACCTCCGGTCTGTCATTCAGGGCCACATCGAGCACATCTACGCGTCGCCGCTCGACTTTGAGGTTGATCCGACGCGGGTCGACGACCCGGCGGTGCTTCCGACGCACTGGGCCAACCTCACGGCGCTTGTGGAGGACATTGTCGAGTCTGTTCTTGAGTCTGCCCCTAAGTTGCCTTCCCCGTTCAAGCACGTCTTTGCCCATCTTGTGGAGGCCGTCAAGGCACAGTTTCCCGGCGACGACATCGTTCCCTACACGGTTGTCTCGGCCTTTCTCTTCCTCCGCATCATCTGCCCTGCCATCCTCGGGCCCAAGCTGTTTGGCCTCATGCCGGACCACCCACAGCCGCGACAGTCGCGGACGCTGACGCTGGTAGCCAAGACGCTCCAGAACCTGGCGAACCTGGTCCACTTTGGGCCGAAAGAGCCATTTATGTCGCCGATGAACGCCATCATTGACTCGTTCCTCGACGACATGCGCGAGTTCCTCACCGCAGTCTCGACGCCCGACCCTGCCGAGCTCAACCAGCCGCTGCATCTTGTGGAGCATGCTGCGGCTCCGAGCAATCTCGACTGGCCGCGCGACATGGCCAAGGTTCACAACCACTTTAACGCGGCACTGCCGGCGCTCGAGGAGCATGCGGACGAGTTTCCGGACCTTTCGCTCAACGAGCTCAAGAAGGTGCTCCGCGGCATCGACACCGCGGTTCTCAACGAGATTGCAAAGATGCCCCCGGACGAGCAGCATGATGCCATGGTCTCGCTCAACCTGCAGCCGCGAGAGGCGAACGGTGCAGACGACGACGTCGGCGAAGACTGCGCCAACGAGCGCGAGCTGCAGCGCTCGGTCGTCGGTGTGGAGCACATGGGTGCGATCGAGGCTGTCGAGCTGAGCGGGGCCTACGAGGTCGAGGACGAGCTCGCCGCGTTGGAGGCCGAGCTGATGGGTGGCAGCGTGAGCGCGGATGCGGTGACGGCGGCGTCGGCGGTGACGGCGGCAGGTGGTGGGAGCGGGGGAGGCGCGGGGCCGACGGCAGCACCGATCGATACCACCGTCGACGACGTTGACCGACTCGACGAGTCGAACATGATGATGTGGAACGAAGTGGTGGGTGCACCAAGCACGGCAAGTTTTGGAGACGTAGGCGGAGCTGCGGCGGGAGCAGGGGCTGCAGCTGGAGGTGAGCCCAGAGCCGGAGCACCGGCGGCGGCGGCGACTCTGGCCGCGACGACAGTGGCGGAGCGGCAGGCGCTGCCAATATACTCGACGGCGATGATGGAGGAACTGGCGCGGCGGCTGCTGGCGACTCAGGCGGCTACCGGGCCGGTCAAGGCGACGACGTACGAGCAGCTCATGGTGCAACCGAGTGGGGGCACTGCCGGAAGCAGCAGCGGGAGCAGCAGCGGTCGACGGCCGTCAGGCGCTTCGCTCTTTGGCAGGGCTTCGGACGCGTCGGTGTCTACAGCCCGCGAGGTCGACGACGACGGATTTGAGGTGCCCAAGGTGGCGGTGCAGACACAGGTGTCGACTAAGACCTCGTTTGGTATGCCCGAGTTTGAGGGCATGGACGCGGAGCTCGAGACGCTTGTGGAGGAGATGAAGACCAAGCTGCGTGTGGAGAACAAGATCGTGTCCAAGATGTACCCGGCGGCGTTTGCCGGATCGGAGGCAGTCGACTTTATTCTGCTTCTCACCAAAGGCCACGACCGCGAGCCTGCGCGGGCGATTGGGCAGCAGCTCCTCGACCGCAAGGTGTTCAAGGCGATCGACGTGATGGGTCCAGGCGCGTCCGGAACGTTTGTGGATGGCTACGCCTTCTACCAGCTGACGACCAAGCGCGATGCTTCGATGCCTGTCGGGCTGCTCAACCTCATCGACCAGTTCAAGCTCAACGTGCCGCGCAAGCCCAAGGAGACGCGGCAGACGTACAAAGACGTGTTTCTCGGTTTCGATCTTGTCTCGTTCATTGTGACCGTCATTTGCAAGATGAATCCGGTGCGCGGACACGCGGTCAAAGTGGCGCAGGAGCTCTTTGCGCGCAACATCATCGCCGCCCTCGACGGCTCGGACTCGTTCGAGGACGGCTATACGCACTACTACATTGTAGAGAACCCGGTGCCGGACCCGAACAGGGTGGAAAACGTGCTGGACACGTGCGGCGAGGTGGTGTACTACCAGCCGGACGTCGAGTCGCTCTCGACGCGCGACAAGCTTGATCAGGCGGTGGAGGCGCTTACGGCGTGGGCGAACCTCGAGCTGCGGGCGTCCGAGTCGGGCGCCGCCATTTCCGGCCCGGTGGGCGATGCGCTCCGCGACGGCACGCTCCTCAACCATCTGCTGACGGTCATCTCGCCGCACTACTCGGCGCTGCATGTGCTCAAGGACCAGCCCAAGTCGCGGGCCGACGAACTCGACAACATCATGCTCGTTCTCCGCTTCCTCCAGGATCAGGGCCTCGGCCTGGGCGACTTTCTTGATCCGACCGTCCCGTCCATGTATTCGGCCACAGCGCTCTCGCTCAACGAGGGCAATGTCATGACCGCAGCCGTGATCCTGCATGCCATGCGTCGGTTGGTACTGTGAGCATTCTGGAGGATGATGAACAAAACGATGGTGTGGTTTTGGGGGAAGCTTGGTACTGAAGACGGTTTATCCCTTACGGTACGGAATGGACACATTTGTCCATCGCGCAAGCCGCGCTCCGCGACGCTCCACAGACGTCGCAACGTCCGTGAATGGTTGTAACACAGTAGTACAATGTGTTCATGGCTGCCACAACAGAAAACAGTCGGCGATGCAGAGATGGACGCCGCACGCGGCGCACAAGGTCCGCGGCCGCCATCGCTTACCAAAAAGCTTCCGGCCAGTGAGGCAGTTGCGTCACAAAGCGGCTTATTGGGGAAAGTGGTGATGACGAGCAGCCACTGCAGAGGTGCGCTTCCGCTTGCGCGACGGCGCGGACTTGACCGGCAAGCTCGTCCATCGCAAGACGTCTTCGCGCTCTCCCGTCCGGCCACTGCGTTCAACTCTGTCATGCTCTCCTCCCCGGTCGTCGGGGTCGTCAACGACAAGCTCCACACCGTCCGCTCCCGCCGCTCCTCCGGATCGGCGCCGTACGGCACCTCGTGCGCCTCGCCCAAGCTCCCAGGCCTCCGTCACCGCGACGGCAACTCGTCAGGCGGGCATCTACATATCGGCCGCCGTCACGCATCGGGCGCGCCTCCCACCTCAAGCCACAGGCCAAGCAGGCGTCCTGCAGCGTCGGCCGGTGACCTGGAAGTCAAGCATCATCGAGTTGTTCACTTTGAGACGCGCGACAACGCGTACCGCTAAGGGTCAGCACTGTACACACGCTGGCGCAGCATTTCACTTGCACTTTCTGCCAAGCACCCCCCCCACCCCCACCCTCACCCCCACCCTCACCCCCACCCTCACCCCACATTCACTGTTTGCTGTACCATGGAGACTGGAGCCCTTACTCTCAACGTTGGCGGCGTGCTGTACACAACGACGGCGGAGACGCTGCGGCGTGGCTCGGCGTTCTTTGACGCCCTCCTGTCAGGGCGGACGCCGTCTGGCCAGGACGCTGATGGGTACGATGCGAGGGGGGAGGGGAGGAGGAGAGGGGAGGGGAGGAGGAGGGGGGGGGAGGGAATTGAGACTCACCGGACGATGAGCATGTTGTGTATGTGGTGATGGGCGACTGGTGATGGGTGACGGCTGGTGCTACGGCTGGGCTCGCTACGTGGGCTGCGGTTCGCGGGCGGCTGCTGCTTGGGCGACAGCAACTACTTTATCGATCGCAACGGCGAGGTGTTCAAATATGTGCTCGAGTTTCTGCGGACAGGTGGCGGAGTGTTTATACCGGCAGGCGACGATGTGCTGCGGGCACAGGTCCTGTGCGAGGCCGAGTTCTTTCTGGTCGACGATCTGGTGGATGCCATCACCGAGCTGGTCGCCGACGAGGAGCAGCAGGCGGAGCCGGTGCTGCTCGGCAATATGCTGCGGACTGACGGGTACTACGTGCTGGACGATCCTTCTGAGCCAGAGGCGGCAGGCTCGCAAGCGTACTACTTTCGCGACGACGGTGAGCGGCTGCTGTACGCCGAGGGACCGAACGCCGCCGCGCTGCTGCACATCCGGCACGCGCTGTCGGAGATGCCGGCAATCTTCCGCGGAACGCCGAATGTGGCGGCGACGTATGCCGACTTTTACCTCAAGTGCATCCGTCGCGGGAGCTACATCCGCGAAGGCGCGGCAATCATCATCCAGACCGACCAGACGGTGGTCAACAGGTACGCGGTGGTCAAGGGCACCAGCGAGGTTTACATCTCGGATGCGCCGACGTCCGGCTTCCACGAGCGGTTCTCCCGCTATGTCTTTGCGCCGTTTGAGGGCAGCCCGAAGGTGCCGCTCCCGCCCACAGCTGACGTTGCCGGCACCAGTGGCGATGCCGAGGCCGATGGTGCTGGGGAGACGACCGAGGCGTGATCTTTGCTCTGGCGGTTTTAACACGCTGGCGCTAGAGCTTGAGCGAGTCAGCAAGACGAGCATCGCGGCGGGTCATGTCGCGCTTCTTGGACTTGGACTTTGCCAGCTTTGCAGAGAGCTTGTTGCGGAGCAGCTTCTTGTCGACCGTGTCGGCGTCAGTGCCGAGCTCGGAAACGGTCTGGCGGTAGGCGCGGGAGCGGTTTGTGCGGCGGCCGGGCTTGGTATGCTTGGACTTTGCCTCCTGCTTGCGCGGGGCGGAGCCGCGGTCGGCCTTTGCCTCGGCTGCTTTGGCCTCCTTGAACTTGGACGGCTTCTTGGTCTTGCACCGCTGGATGCGGATGGTGCGGCCGTTAAACTCTGCGCCGGTGCGGCGGATGGCGGCGGTGGCACCGTCGGGCGATGCAAAGTTGACGTAGCCGATGCCCTTGCCGTAGCCGTACTCGGCGTCGCGGACAACCCGGACCGAGACGATGTCGCCGTCCTCGGCAAAGAACCGCCACAGATCCTCCTCCTCGGCGTTGAACGGAAGGCCGCCAAGGAAGACGGCGTTGCGCGACGGGAGCCGGCGCGGGCGCCGAGCGCGTCGACGGTGATGTGGAAGCCATCAACAACGGTGCCGTTGGCGCCGGCAGCGGCAGCCTTGGCCTCGTCCAGCGACGCAAAGACCACGTATGCATTGAGCGTCTTGCGCTCCGGGTGCGCCTCGCGCGTGATCGCTGCAATCCGCTTCGACTGCTTCGGCGCCGCGACAGCCACAGACCGGAAGCGGATCGACTCGACGGTACCAAACTCACGCAGCGCCTTCTTGAGATTGCGCTTAGTGGTCTCCAGGCCGACGTTGCCCACAAACACCGTGCGCTTCTCCTTGGCCTTGGCCTCCTCGGCCGTCTCGGGCACCTTGACCTTCTTTGCCTCCTCCTTGGCTGCCCGCTTCTTCTCCTTCTTTGCCCGCTTCTTTGCCCGCTCATCGGACTCGGCTTCGGACTCGGCCTTGGCCTCGCCGCTCTTGTCCTCCTTGGTCCGCTTCCGCTTCCGCTCACTCTTCTTATCGTCGGCGGCGCCCTCATCCATGACCTTGATCCCGTTGGTTGTGGCCTCGTCCTTCTCGCTACTCTCCTCAGACTCGTCCTTAGTGGCAGGCACCAGCACGTTTCGGGTGAACAGCGACGGCTTGGCCGCCTTCTGCCCAGCCTTGGCCAGCGACTCGACCGCCGACATCACCACCGTGCTCGCTTCGCCCTCGCCCTCGCTTCCGCCCGATCCGTCGTTTGATCCTTCATCCCCAGCCTCAGACTTTGCCTTGTCCTTGTCCTTTGCCTTGTCCTTTGACTTTGCCTTGTCCTTGCCCTTGGACTTTGCCTTGTCCTTGTCCTTCGACTTTGCCTTGGACTTTGCCTTGTCCTTGGACTTTGCCTTGTCCTTGCCCGACTTCTCAGCCTTGCCCTTCACAGCCTCGCCATCCTACCCACCCGCATGTTCCACCCATAGCCATAGCCCCCCCCAGACCCCCATGTACACAATGAGTCTCCTCCTCCCCCTCCTGTCGTGCACCCCCCAGGATGGCCGTCCACCATCTCCCATCCATCCCCCACCCCCTCCCACCCCC